GATTCCTTAACACTGTGTTGTTTAATCTGACTTGAACCAATCAAAATGTTACCGATAAAGGAAATTTGATCTTCTCCAATCCTGTTCTTGGTTCTCGTACGCTGCTTTATTAATAGATCCGTTTTTGAATGTTTTTTTTTTCATCAGGAGTACAGTAGATAACCTTTATGTGACTTCAGGTAGAGATGGGCTTCCTATCAACCCTGTCACAAATACTCGGCGTTGGACGGAAGCAAGTTAACGTTATCGTTGTCGGACTGGATAATTCAGGAAAGGTAAGTCAAATTTTGTCGATTTATAGCAATCAATCTCTGTCCACATATTTGCATACTCACACCTTATTTAAATTGAAAAAAAAAACTATATCCACCAAAAAGTGTCCTATTTCTGAGCACCTTCGTAGCAATCTCCTTCCTGCTGACCAGTGAACCATTTACCAAGCCAAGGTTCACTCACAGTGAACGATTTACCAAATCAAGGTTCACTCGAACTCCGTCCTTGCACCCTCTGCAGACTGCTCGAGTTCTTGTGAGGTTGAGTAACCATCTACACTGGTCCACGCCGTTGCCTGATTTATGAGGCGCTGAAAAGTTTCTTTTTTGATTTTCTCGGCTTTACAATGACTAAGCCGAGCTCAATTTCGCCTCGATATTAATTACACGGAGATGTTCTTCCTGGCTTATGAAAACACCGCACTATCGAACTGGTATGGTTCTTGCACACGAAATGAAAACAAGGGTGCGGAGTGGGCTAATAAACAAAAACGAACAGAAACTGTTAGAAACGCTAGAACTCAGGGCTTACTCAGATTTGTAATTCGGCTAGGCGGCAGCTGTTAGACTCTGTTTTCGGTCGCAATGACACAATTGCGGCGGTAATGGTAATCGCAACCGCGAAAGCGCTGTCATAGCGTAACTGTGACAGCAAGCGCGGAGTATGACTACGTGAGCCGATGAGACACTAAGCGCGGAAAGCAGAGGACAGTTCGAGAGTCCAACGAGGTAGGGGACGCAAGTACCGCAGTATTGCGAATCAAGACAAGTGAAAGCTATCGAAACGCTCTTATGAAGGTCTCTGTGCTCATGACGCCCAGTTTCGAGTCCAGAGAGGACATCTGCGACGATGTCTATGTCGTCACGAGGGACACCGAAGTAAATGGGCCACTTACAGAGCTTATGACTAACCCTTAGGAAGGGGAAGGGATACCGGGGAAGGGCGTGAACGTCCTCCTAGCGTCACCTACCAGCAGTTTCGAATGTTCTGCTTTGAATACACTCCCTAAGGACATGAGCCTCTGCGGCTTTAGCAAACGGCTCTACCCAACCCGAGACCTGAGGAGGGATTGATCCATTTGGACCGATCGTGGTGTCCCTTTAACACGTTGGTGACCGCGCATGTTTTACGTTTTGCGGCCGCGTGGCACTTCAGCGAAATCTCATCAAGCAAATTGGAAAGAAAAACCTAGTGCATGATGCAGAAGAAACTTTAACCCTTATCAAATGCGATGGAAAAGAAAATGAAAGAAAAACGTAATATTTGTTCCCAAATGTGGCCGAAAGGTCCTAAGCGGTTGACGGACTGCAGCCCACACATGAGCTGCATGGGCTCCAATGGTGTTAAAATTCTCTTACTTACTTACTCGTCGTATGGACTTCATAGTCAAATGGCCTTCTTGGAAGAGTTTCTGTTAGTAAGTTTCTGAAAGGCGCAGTAAGCTTCATTCTTCCGGCATTATACGGAGAAGTACAATCAGGGTCAACCGTCCGTTCGAACTGTTCGAACGAAGGGGTCGCATTTTGGTCGGAAGGGGGTCGCAATTTCGAGGACTGCCAGCCACAGGCGCGTGCGTGGCGTATCCGAGGGCAAGAATTGTTTGTGCAGACCGCATTAGATTCGATTAATTATGCACAGAGAGACAGTTTTAGGCAAATTACGGTGTTTTCCTTGAGGAATAAGAACAGTTGAATGCATCCCTATGAAAGGTTTGACTTCTCGGGGCTGAAATTAAAGTTCTTCGGGACCTAATTTTCTGAGGACGATTCTTCCAGACAACGGTAAAACACATAAGAAAGCAGAAATCTCGTAGTCTTCAAAAATGTCTTCGCCCTCCCCAACAAGTTCTTTGAAGGAAGTTATTATTGCTGAAAGCTCAAAAACTCGCATGTGCTGCTCAAAAACCTATGGGAACAAAATGTTCGAACGTGTGATTTTCTCGGAAAATGGATTTTGAAAAACGGTTTGGTGCTTGTCAGAAAGAGCAAATCCTGTACTTTCACCCCATGAAAAAGTGCATCACAGAAATGAAAATGAAGTGAGTTATGCCCGCTTAAAGCCCAAAAACTCGCGATTTCAAAAAAAGTGTTCGGCAAAACCCCCAAAATGTTCGAACGTGTGATTTTCTCGAAAAATGAACTTTGAAAAACGGTTTGGGCTTGTTAGAAAGAGCAAATCCTGTACTTTCACCCCATGAAAAAAGTGCATCACAGAAATGAAAATGAAGTGAGTTATGGTCGCTGAAAGCCCAAAAACTCGCTTTTGCACGAAAAATGTTCGAACGGGACAATTTTTTGAAAAAGGGGACAATCACTAAACTTTTTATACTATTTTGTTAGAGAAAATATTTGAAGTTTCTGAAACTTTTTACAGATTTCCAAAATGTCGCATACGAAAGATTTTATGGGCCTTCAAAGTTGAAGGTGCGCCTTCTTAGAATTTTGGGTTTTCCACTTCTAACAGAAGTACTTTCCGGAGAGTTAGGCAATCCTTGTAGTTTTCTGAAAGCGCACCTCAGGCACAATCAAAATCTACCTCAACAAGTCAAAAAAATACGTCCCAAGAAAGTTATTCCCCTCTAAATTTTTTTCTTCGCCGCGTCCCGTTCTTCCAGCGCCCGGGTGATACCTGCCGCGCTCCAAGGCTGACGCGCAACGCAGTGTGGTTTCTGTGGAGGCAATGTATCGCAGATGTTGAGATGTGCTCATTCTGAATTCCCTCTGATATGAACCCGCTCGAATAAACTTACCCATTGGGCTGCTGACAGCGAGCATGTCCGCATGTCTTTGTCCTGTTTCAGAAAAACGAAAGAGCGTCAGGGCAGACCAACACCACAAGTGACGACGGCTTCCAAATAAATCTCGTTATAGTGGTTCATAATGATAGCTGATTTTAGGTAAATTAAAGTTGTGATTAGTGAAAACTGACTGAAATACAGCTGCGACAGGCTGATCATTTTGTTGGTAGAAAACATTACATCTTGTGGCAGCCGTCGCCTGTGGTGTGTGGTCTGCACTCGACGCGCTTACTGTTTTCTGAACAGAGGGGACGGCGAATAAGGCAATGAACCTCACCAAAGCATGATGATGTATCGCAGCAGTAGGATTGAGTTGTACCCTCTATAATTCTTTCCCGCCTTTATAAATCGTAGTTTTCTCGATTATTATATTTCCAGACAACCATGTTAAACTACTTGCGAACGCCAGAAACTCGAACCAGCCAAATTGCCCCGACAGTCGGCTATTCAGTCACGAACTTCACCACGGAGAGTTTCAGTTTTACGGCTTTCGATATGGCTGGACAAGGTGAGCTTGTTTGCCTTGTTTGTGCGCCTTTGCAACCACTTTACATACATATGAAATCCAGTGCAGTCTGGCGGAAAGTGATAAAATGCCTAAAAAATCCACTACCTGGAACAAAAAAACGTGTTTGACGCAACAGATCTCAACGGGTTTGCAAAAATAGCTTGTCTTGAGACTTGCTCAATTCAACGAAATGAAGCCATGCATTGCTGTCCTAACATAGTCATCCTTCCGCTACAAGGGAGGACGAAAAGGCCTCACTCAAGCTAAGAAAAGTTCTGATCCTACTATCCAGGTTGAAAAAAATAGTTCCACTCACACAACGCGAAAATGCAAATTGTATTTGCAACTTGTGTTTATTTTACCCGCTGCAGGACTCTTCAACATCATGGGATTTCCTCAGAAGTACATGTATTGTCCATACATGTGATAGTGCCTTAAACAATGTGGCAATGTCGAAGTGGCGCGAAGGATTTAAAGGCATGGTTCGCCTTCAAACTGATGTGTTATTTTGTTTGAAAGTTAGACAACGTTCCAAAGGAAAACCCCGTTCAAAAGACGTCTAGCAGGGTTAGACACTAGGAATTTTTATCCGAATCCGCACCTCTACAGAATTTGTAGCAGGAATTTGTGAAAACAAAGATTTTTATAATGAACAATTTAGAATTTCCAGAGGATAAAAGTTACCTTTTCTCGATCCAATAAACATCACGCTTTGGAAAATTTGAGGGACGCGACGTTCCCCCCTCCCCCGATGACATTGAACCTCTGTCATTAGAGCCCTTTTCATTCATGCCCTTGTTCCAATAAACAAAAATTAAAAATCAAAAATCTCCAAAATGTCTGATTGAACAGGCAGGATTTATGATGAAATCATGCAAACAATGGCTTTGAAAGCTAAAAATTCTGCAAGCGATAAAGCGTCATCACGATAAATCTCCTGCTAGTAGCCGTCCAACCAGGACTAGATGCCTTCATTGGCTAAAGGTTTCGGCTTTCTTCGCTCTTCGTCAGATGCATGGGAAAATCAAAAAACAAATGCATTTGCCGGCCCTCAACGCTTCAACAATAATGAAGGAGATTACCATGTTTGTCATCGAACTGACTAATTAGAATTTTAACTCATCCTTTGTTGACTGTATTCTTTCAATATCTCATTCCCCCCTCTATTCCTCCTTCACGCTTCTCAAGATTCCCAACCGTTCGCCGACAGCGATACTGCCTGCCGGCCTTGCATGGTCATAAAACTGTACCTCAGCGGTGACCATAAACTTTTCGCCGCGGGAACCACGAATGACGTCGTCGCGCCTTTGGGTGATGGTATATCACCAGCAGCTTTACTGCTCATGTTGAATGCTGTTGGAAACTATGGACTGACATATTTCATGTTCAGGAAAATACCGTAACCTGTGGGAGACGTACTACCTGAACGCTCAAGCCGTGATTTTTGTGGTGGATAGCGCCGATCGGTTGCGAGTTTGCTGTGGCAAGAGATGAGTTGTGGATGATCCTCGACCATAAGGATATCAGTGGGCGACCGGTGAGTTCGAAGTGAAGTTTTGATGAGCTGGATTGTTTGAACGATAGAATTCAGATTCCTATTGCATCTCTATTGTGAAACGTGTGCCACGCCCAACAAAAAGGGAACCATCGCCCGCCGATAGATGAGCAAATGTCGCAAAGCCCGGGCGAGTAATGCTCAACCAGCACCTAATAATGATCTCATCCCTAGTTGCACGACGTTGAATGCGGCTGTCTCCCAACTGATCCTGACAGAGTACATGATCAACACAGATTCTGCAGAAAGAGAAATCGCACTGCTGAGATCATCGGAAGCCCGTGAATTTCAGCTTCGTTCTGCGTTTGGGTCATAGGTTCACAATTGGTAGGCAGATAGTTCTGATGAGCCGGACTTTCTGGGCGCCCAGCCATCTTGAAAACATCACAAAATTTCGAATACTACTTGAGATTTATAAGCTATCCCGATTGGGGGAAAGCTTACTTCATTAACTTCTAGTGAACTGAGCTTTCCCACGATAAGCCCCACCACCTTAAGTTCCTAACGCTCAGGTAAAATTAAAATTTTAAAGCTCTTGTATTGGTTGTGAAAACCCACCAAATTCTACTGTTTGGTTTTTTCATAACATTAGAATCGTATCCCATTTGAAACCAATTAGGCTTAGTGTGTGAGCAAACGTAGCGCTTTTCCATTGCCACGCAGCCATTGTGAACGTTTGTGGGCGGGGTTCCTCACGTATGCGTGTTTCCTTGTTGTTTCATGTGTTTCTTATGAAAACGTCTGGAAGAAAATTTGGAATTTCAGGCCTTGATCTAATCAGAGGTCATAAATGGAATATCCACGCCACATGTGCTCTTAATGGAGCAGGAGTTCAACGGGCTATCGAATGGCTGACGAAGGAAATCAGAGCATACTTGGACTCGTTGAAATGAAATTCATAGAAATAAAGAAATACGAGTGCTCGTAATTAACGCTTAACATTGATTACATTAGCACCCTTTAGTTGTTTCCCTGTCAAACAATTGGCGCATTCATGAGACATCATTCCATAGGAGCTTCGTGCTCGAGAAAACCCAGAGCCAGTGGTGACCAACACGAATAAAAATATGATGATGACCGATCATGGATTTCGGTGCTATACAAGGTGTCATCGGCCATAATTCTCGTGAACAGAAATGTATGTGAGTGGTACTGCTGCCCGCTACTACACTGTCACGAGAATCGGGGAACTTGTGAGCAAGGGGGAGCTGTAGCCAATCTAGAGGGTGGGGAGGGGTAGGGGTAGGGCAATCACTTAACATGCGTGAAAAGCTGGGCATTACCCACCCCACTTGTACAAGCGGATTTATTTTAATTTCATTGACAATTGATTTTGTCTGCCGAGCTCGTGAGGTGAAACATGGATGTTTGGTTCTTTGTGTCATTCCTGCATAGTAAGTGGCGAGTCCTTGGTTTGCATCCCGCCTTTCGGGACACTTCAGACCCTTGTGATAACTTCAGCTATGGAAAACTTCAGCGGAATACGGCCGTTGACGATGTACACAAACCGAAAATTGATTTTATAGGTTCTTGGTCAGTTTTTGGTTCTGTTTTTGGTCTTCTGACGGGTTCCTGACGTGATGTCCGAACTGCTAGAGAGGATGAAGCGCTCGATAGGCGTAGAGCATGAATCTAACACACGAAACACTTTCAGGCCTTGTTATTAAAGATTAAATCCTGGGTCGTGAGTCGCCCGGGCCAAGCCTTCCATCCCTCCGGGGTCGGTTAATTGGTACCAGACTTGTCTGGGAGGATAAAAACACTGACTTGTACATCGGCTGGCCCCGCAAGTCATTGTATAGGCCACATCGCATTCAAACGCCACTACGAATGTACAAATGGAAGTAGAATGCGTGCCGCATCCCAAAAGGGATTGATCAACGGCAAATGCTTTATCCTTTTTTATCAACTCAAACAGGCACCAAAATTTGAGTTTTTGGAATTTTTTTGGGATTCTTTTGGAATAACATTTCGGTGCCTCTTTGTACAGTACAGTACAGTTTGTGCGGTACAAGATTTGGGTCCTGATGAGGCTCCAGGGCAGCACAATATATAAGAGGTTGATTTTAATGTTTTGTGCACAACCTTCTATTGCAAACGATTGAGAACAACTAATAATAAGCTTCTCAAAGAACATCACTGACTCATAAGTTCAATTGCAATGCGATATGGCCAACGTCAAGCTGTGCGCAAGTATTTGTTACACAGCTATGCCGACTTTTGTTTATATGTCAGATAGCACTGATACATAGCCAATGGATACACTGGGGTTACGGTAGATTTCTCCGTGATTGGACCAATTTCCGCTCTGTGATATAATTCAACTACACAGGATAAATTACCCGCGATTTAATATCACCTTTATGAGTTACGCGTTATTCCGCAAGACCGACAGAGGACATTTCCGGCGGTGCCAAATCTGCCGACATCTGACATCCCACGTGCTCAACAACTTCCAATTACTACAGCAAGTTTTGAAGGGCACAGTGCTCCCCGGAAGAGTCTCCCACTTCACGCTTTCTCACTGATGTGGAGCTATTCGAATTTTACAGTTGGCCTTTGCGATGGCATATTAAGGAGGCGAGAGGACTGTGAGGTCGTAAGGAATTTGGTGAACAGCCGTGCTTCAGTTACCTTTTTCATCCTCCCAGAAAAGTACCGAGTCGATCAAAAAAGGGCCTCAGTTAACCAATCGTGTGAA